AAAAAAAATTAAAATCAAGATGCATGTCGGTTTGATAACCATGGGTTTTAGTCTTTGGTTTATGGTTTGTGATTTTTTAGATTTTAGTTTTCACTTTATGATATGAAAGAACAATGAGTAAAAACAAAATCTGAAAACAAATTCAAATACCTTTTGATTTTGGTTTTAGTTTTTAGTGTTGTGGCCTATTTTATCTGACAATATTAAAGAGGGCCGGCGGCAAGGGAAGAGAGAAAAAAGAGATGTGTTTGTAGAATTGTAGGGGAATGTGTATTGTTATCCCTCCTACATTGTGTCTTTATTTATAGTAGTAAAGGGAGAGAAGATATTCCTTCTTTCCCAAGTAATACAAGTTGTAATAGGAAATGATAACTAGAATCAAATCTAATCTAAGATTTACACAATCACACTTAAACTAGGAATGTTTACAACACTCCCACTTGAGTGTGTAAATACTCAAGGTAGATTTAGCATCATCCAGAAGTTGAGGAAGTCGACTCATCGGCACTGATTCCAAGAAACAATGTTTATTCTCCATAAGGTAGGAACTTGCATAAGTAGTAAGTCTCACTAAAAAACCCTAAAGCTATGGTAAAAACCCGAGGAGGGACAAAATCCATAGTCTAAGGAAAAATGCGTGAGAAATGCAAAAGTCAAATAAACGTCTACGGGACGTCATCAAAGATATGACCAGCCCAAGGTGGGTGCCTCGTTAAAACCCAGTTAGGTAGCAAAAACCCAGTGGGAAAAATACTCCTAATCGTGGGGAAAAATAGTACATTAAGATCAAGCAAGTATCTACAGGATACTCCCCCTGAGTTTGACATAATTCCAAAGAGAAATAGCAAAGTTACAACTCAAAAAGTTTACGCATACCAATTCCATAAACAAGCTTTTGAAACGTCGTCTTCGGCAGTGATTTGGTGAAGAGGTCAGCCAAATTGTCTTGTGAACGGATTTGCATGACTTTAATCTTCTGATGCTCTTGTTGTTGATGTGAAAAGAAGAACTTTGGTGCAATGTGCTTGGTGTTGTCTCCTTTGATGTAACCTTTCTTGAGTTGTTCGATGCAAGCTGCATTGTCTTCAAAGATCGTCATCGGGACATCAACGGCTGGATGAAGATCGTCGTCAGAATGAAACTAGAAACTCTCTTCTATAAATAGAGATCATTCTCTCACAATATTTCCTAATGTCATTTGTACTAAATCATTCACTAGTACTCACTAAATGAGAGCTTGAACCTATATACTTGTGCAAACACTTCACAATTAATGAGAACTCCTCTACTCCGTGGACGTAGCCAATCTGGATGAACCACGTACATCTTGTGTTTGCTTCCTTGTCCCTATCCATTTACATACTTATCCACACTAGTGACCGGAGCAATCTAGCGAAGGTCACAAACTTAACACTTTCTGTTGTACCAAAGTCCTCACTGATTTTGTGCATCAACAGGTATGGCACGACAATTTGACAAAAAAATTCACCCCTAATTATATTTGTACAATAATGTAATTTAAATTGAAATGACGAATTTAACCCCTCCCTTGATAGTCATGTGAATTTGTTTCCGAAATACCAACAAAAGTTTGGGTTTAGACCTGAATTGCTAATAGGCGAAGTTTAATTAACAACTTTTACACAACAAAGATGATATTAAAAGTGGCGTGTCACCATAAGGACCATAAAAAAAATTTGGCCATATTATTTCCAGTTTCTATGCATGCATACAGTCCATTTAACGTCTACATTCTTCATGGGTGAAAGTTATAGATAAGGTGAAGGTCAAGTGGGAGAGGCTGCATTATATGGAGAGTGACAATGATATAACTTGGTGCAAGTGGTGCCACCACTCGCCCAAAAGTGTACGGTTAATCCATATAATAATCGATTACGTAAATTAAAGGACGTCATATCATATCAGCTAGAGATATCTTGTTATCAAGATAAAAGGGTATTTTATAAAATAAAATAAAATAAAAAATCATGTAACATCCGAAAAGTAAAAGGTGGTAATGCGTAACTACTGTGCATTTGTGCCTTAGGCATTACAAGGACATTTGGTTCCAAGTCCCACTTCCGCCAGTACCTACAGGAATCAAGAAAGCAATACTGCAGGAGACAAGTGAGGTGAGGATCCTCCTCATGATCCATTACTAAATTCGTCCGACTAGTAACTTGTAACCGTCGGAATTGGGATCGGTGAAAAAGTAACTTCGTACTCGGTGTGTAAGTAAAAATAATAATAATAACGATAACCAAAATACAGGGTTGAAAAATAAAACTAAAGAGGGTAGACGAGCTATTGTTTCACTCGCCCTTTATATGTTAGAAGAGCAAGATAATTTTTTTTATTATTTTATGTATCCCTGTAAGGATTTGGAGTTATCATTGTAACAGTAAAGTTTATTTTCAACCTTTTATTTCATTTCTTCGCTTTTATTTTTATTTTAACTTATTCATCGAGCGCGGAGTTATTTTTACACCGATCCTAAGTCCAAGGCACGACATAACTCCACTCATATTTATATGGCAACTGTATGACAACAAGAAGTGTTGAGGAGAGATTTCCTCTGGGTCATTTGGAGCTCTTCAAAGGCGCATGTAATCCAACTCCAACTAACCTAGATGCATGGTGAATGGTTTACAGGGAATGGATACACTATTAAGTGGTGTTCCGTATCAATGAAATAAGGAAATGTAAACAAAACCTGTGTCCTTATTTGATTAGTGCCAAACACATCACCGTGACGGTATATTTATATCATATAAGTCATTCTCTAATGGATAGACGTGCGAATTCATACTAGAATCTCACTTACGCTTTTTTTTTTTTTGGTCGAAATCTTTCATTTGAACACCCATCATTTCTAGCATTGGCATGTGAAATCTTGCCATGCTACTTGTGAAGGAAAACTAATCAGTCTGTTTGGTATCCCTATTGCGTCCAATTCTTTGCTTTTAGAACTATGAGTACGACTGAGGATCCTCTTCGGATCCTCTTTGTGAGGATCTCGGGGATCCTTCTATCACATTTATTTATCGTACATCGTGCAACTAGTTTTCGTCAGATACTGTTTATATTTAATTTTAAATAAAAAAAATTTACAATGATTTCTGACCGCACAATATACGATAAACATATGTGATTGAAGAATCTCCACGATCCTCACGAAGAGCTCCTTATTGCCCACTTCTTTTGATCCATCCCAAACCAAAGCTCAAATACTATATAGAGCGGCCATGAGTTGCTTGCAAACATTAGATGTAGCTTGGGTTCTAAATTCTATTATTTTGTTCTATACTTTTGATTGTTCTCTTCTATTTTAGGTATGACTTGTTTGATACGATAATCGTACTAAAATTTCTTATCAATTGTTGTACCAAATTTTTGGTATGACAACATTATTTACCATCTTTGTGCAAAACTTTTAGAACATTAACCACTCAAGTGGATTTGAGTATCTTTGAGAGCATTCAGGCATATAGATAGACTCGAAGAGGGTCTCGAATGGCTTTATGTTCTCTTTTGTACAAGTAATATTGGGAGAGGGAGAACTGAACTTGAAGGTGCATAGATAAATATTTGTAATAACCCGCATTTAAAAATAAAAAATAAAAAATAAAATATATATATATATATATATATATATATATATATGTTACTAACATTATATATTATTATGTTTCTTTCAAGTATAAATTTTTTTTATTGGGTTTCTTTTATGCACAATGTTTATGCATACAAGAATTATATTTTTGCATGCAAGCAACCATGTCTATTCAGAGCATACGAACCATGTCAAGCAACCAGGTTATTCTTCTAACGACCCAAAATTCTGAAAATTCCAAAAAAAAAATAAAGGTAAATCCCTTGGCTATTCAGAGCATACGAACCATGTCTATGTCTAGTAGGAAAGGGAGAAGAATTGATTGCCAGTGCCGTCGTCGAAGGTGGCGGTGGCAGAGGACGGATAGTGTTTAGGGATTGATTTTGGAGGACGATTTGTGCGGGAAAGAGGAGAGAGAAGTCGAGGTTTCTGAGAGAGGGAAGGCGAGGAGGTCGAAATGAAAGCAGAATTGGGGAGTTTGTACTCGTAGTAGTTCTAACCATGGTCAACACGTGGATAATATGGGTAGTTTGGTAATTTAATTGTTCCAAGGAGAAAAAAGAAAGAAAAACTAATGAAAAGTAAAAAAAAAAAAACTTTAGTTTTAATGAAAAACAACAAATAAAGGTGTACTGGATAGTATCAGAAAAAGTTAAAATATGGTTTTTCGTTAAACGTGAATAGTACTGGAAGTGTATCGTTAAAACTTCCAAAAAAGAACGCGATATGAAGAAGAAAATAAGGGTATTTTCTTCAAAACACTTGATGAACAGTGTTTCTAAGCTGAGTTTTAATATAAGTATAATTTCACTAGTCAAAATATAACTCACACCCTAACTCATGAATAGTCTGTATTTGCGAGTCACGGTGTGAAAATACTTTTAATTGAGCTACAAACCACCTTACTTGAAAATTTGAAAAACGAGACCAAAAGTCTTTATTGCATAAATAAAAGGGAAAACTAATTAAAAATACTTGAAAACTTTAAGTTTTAACAGAAATGACAAAAAGGCGTCGTAAGTAAATAGTATCAAGATTGACTTTTTAGATTAAAAATGTGGTTTTTCGTTAAAATGAACGGTACCGGAGCTTTTTGTTAAAATCCCCTAGATAAAACGGTTAGTTTTCAAGAATCTCCACATATCTTCCTTATCGATCAATTCCAAAAGTATTTGACCAAAAATAAAATCAACTAAGGAGTAAATCAACGAAGGGGGTGCACTTACTTGAGATTTTGAAGATTAATAGATTGATAAATCTATGAGGTTTGATGAAGTTTTCAACGATTCACATACATTATATGTAAGTTTTGAGTGAAATCTCTCAAAATCTCAATAGAAGGGGGTGAGATTTATGATTTTATGAATAATTAAAATACTTAATGAAATCTCTCAAATTTCCTCACTTTTTAAGTTCCTTTAAAACCAACCCGAAATACATTTTAATAAGCTGTTCAACTTGCTCCTGTCCAGTCAATCCTGGTTAGTTCCTAAGCAACGATTACCTCGGCTCTTTTTTTCCTTGTACAGCACGCGTTCGATCCCAGGTTTGATCAATTTATTCTCAAATGCACGAACACCTTAAGCCCTCAACTGTAACCACCTTGGACCATTTGATATGGCACGTCCCAATATCGAAACAGAACCACATCACAAACACAAGCTGGAATAGAGATTGATGAAAATTCCATAAACCTTTCTTCATTCAATAAAGAAACAAGTTTGCAACGCTAAGCGGAAAATCGGCAACTGCATATCCGAGAAAACATTACCATCCTTCTTTTTATCATCTTTCTGGCAAGAAAACAGCCCAATCAATTTCCTTTGGTGGCTGGTACAAATAAAGGGTAATAAGCTCATGGCCCGCGAGTGGGAGCAAAACAGAAACAGCCCGGAGAACGGTCTTCAGGTATCATTCCGCCTCTCTTTGCTCGTATCAATTACTTCCAACATTTTCACCACCTCACCCATTTCAGGACGTTTATCTGCATTTCCATCCCAGCACTTGCGCATGATGCTTGCCAAAGAACTTGGACAGCATTTGGGGATTTCTGGTCGTAGGTTCTGATAACAAAACCATAAAATATGCACAATAAAAACGCCCATAAAAATTTAGAGGTCAAATCTTCAACAGGACACAAAAATTAAAATCTTTACCAAGACAACCAAAGTTCATTC